AGATGATATCATGTGAATATTCAGCAACAATGTCATCACAATATATGGGCTGTACAATAGATGGTGTTTAATGTTGGAGGGATTATGTACAGTAGATTAAAACAAAGTGAAGTAATGGGTCTTGGCTGGGAAATTCCTGGACATGGACATATGTGGACTTGGAATGTTTCACTCACTGACATGTACGAAGCAAGTCTAGGTCTAATGTCAAGGTGGGTTAAAGGGCTGAGGGAATACCCTCTGAGACTCTGGTAAACATACAAACAACTCTGGAAAATCACCATTTATAGCTGGGAAAATCCACTATTTCAATGGCCATGTTCAATAGCTATGTGGCAGTTTACCAGAGGGAATAAGTGTGCAAATGGTTTGGCATGTACCATGCTCAAAAGATATTAGGGCATCCCAGCGTCCCAATTCTAACAATTCTTATCATGGCTACATTGGTACATCATGAAATATCAATGGGAACTTCAGCATCCTACAATTAGGCCATATTTTCTAGGGATATCAATGGAGGTACTGTACAATGTGGCCCCCCCAGTGATGTTTGTTGGTTAACAGATTCGCCCCAGGAATACTAGTTCGTTATTTGCGTACCATGTTTACCAAATTGGAATTATAAACCAACTTAGCTATCAACCGGGGGCCTCACATTGTACCATATTTCAAGCCATATTTTGCTGGGATATTCCCTGAAATTTAGGCCTGAACAATAGGCCAAAAATATATGGTAGGTACCTCCAATCAATTGGTTCGTGAAACTTCCATTGAATATATAACAACCCCTATGAAAATGGGGCCATGACCATCTCCCAATATGCTTGTTCCAGGGCGACGTCATCGCCTAGTGGGAAGATGTGGAAATTCACACGAAAAACATTCGGACCCTCAAACACCGCATGGAAATACATAGTAATCCCGCCCTTGCTGGTGCTGTTGGCTGCCCAGCGCACGACTTTGGTCATCTGCCGGGCGCTTGGTTGGAGCTTCTCTAGTGGCTTCAGAAAGCAACATTAGGCAGTAGCCTGCCTTCAAACTCTCCGCAGCGCCGTTGCTGGTGCTGTTGGCAGCCTTCCGGCTGCCCAGCGCACGACGTCGGCCATCTGCCGGGCGCTTGGTTGGAGCTTCTCTAGTGGCTTCAGAAAGCAACATTAGGCAGTAGCCTGCCTTCAAACCCTCCGCAGCGCCGTTGCTGGTGCTGTTGGCAGCCTTCCGGCTGCCCAGCGCACGACGTCGGTCATTTGTCGGGCGCTTGGTTGGAGCTTCTCTAGTGGCTTCAGAAAGCAACGTTAGGCAGTAGCCTGCCATTCCCTCAATGCTAAACACCCAGAAACGATGGTTTTTTGTTGGTGCATGTAACCATTTGGGGGATATTTAATATGAACGGGGGGTAGGATTATATTGAATCTGGGAGGTGCAGAACATCAACAGTTTTGACCGTAGGTGAGTACCACTCATCTACTCACGACTTATAAGTTTTTACAAAATACAGTTTATACATTTCCGATACACTTGAGTACAGGCTACACTTGGGGTTTCCATTATTATTGCTGCGCAGACTACATACCATGTACAGTATTACCTAGCCAACCACGGCAAGCGTCAATTCAATCTCAACCAGTGGCCCCAAGAGCTACTTTGGAAGTGGTCTTAGATACCCTTCCAAAGATATCGGTCTTAGCTGGGTTAGACCCATAAAGTTGCAAACACTCAACCATTACCATCCATTACCATCGCCCTGCAGTGGAAAGTTTTGACCATGTTTGACCCTAAACATATCTATCTAACATAGCATTTATGCATTTCTTCTAGGGGAAACTATATGATACTATATGTCTTCCAACCCACAAGGTGTAAGTGGGTTTATAAACTCCATTAATTAACATCCATTGACTACTTGGATCTATTTCTACCATAAACCCTATAGTTCCGTCACTTTTTCTTCAGCAACTCATCCCACGGCCAGGGGCCACCGGAAACCCATCGATCGAGGCCCCACCGAGACGCTGAGGAGAAGATTCCAAATCGGTGTAGCGCTCAGACTCCCAAGCTCCTGGCCGGTTTATTTCATGGAGAATGCCTTTCCAAAAAATATAGATGATAAGGTAAATAAATGGTAAATCATGAAAGAACATGATAGAACAACACTTATATACATATAATTGTATTATAATATACACATATACTTTTTGTATAATTATATATATATGTTTTCATATAGGCATATAGTATCATAAAGTATCTTACATATGATCGGTATTTTGATGGCAGCAATGGTTTCCATTGAACATCGCGGTCCATGCGTCGCGCCTGGCTCACTGTCTGTCAGCAAGTCTTCAGACAGCTCAGCCCACGACTGCTTTCGAAAGTCCTACGGAAAGGCGGGCCGTTCGAAGGAAAGGACATGACAATCACTGGAAATTTTGAGACGACTGGGGAGTTGCAAGATGTTGGAAGCTTGATATACGTACATGATATTTACATAATTATAACATATATATGTATATAATATACAATTATACACACACCTCTATACTACAGAATTTACGTATACAGAATTCACAGAGTTGAATTCGTGTAAGAACTAATGTGCTAACCCCAATAATCATCCCAATGTCATCACCATGTTTATGGCAGCCAGGCTTTACACCGCCCCCCCGTCCGAAGGAGTCGAGCAGGAGCTGTTGGTGTTCCTTGGCCCCCGCTTAGGATAGGTCAGTGCAATGGCCAGGTACCTAAATTGGAGCCCTTATTTGAGGCCTTAGCCCTGAAAAAGAGGCAGGTAGCTCCAATTTAGGTTCCTGAAATGGCTAAAAGGGGTGTTGGATTTAGAATTTACAATGGATATATCTTTACTTCTTTTTGTGTATAGAACATGCTCAAAACATGTTACATGTTTTCTGAATGCCCGGGGCCCCTGCCTTCAGCACCGAGGATTAGGTGGCTAGTGGCTACATTGTTTCTGCTTATAGTATGGTATAGAAATGTCAATAGAATACTTGTACCATATAAAGCCATATAAAGCCAGCCATATAAGTGTTCCTCATTTTGGACAAGAATTACAAGTAGGGTTTGGGAATCACACAAACTACCAACCAGTTACGCTTTGGGAATCAGTCATCCCGGTGATGTTTTTCTGTGGATAATTGCAAATGAATTACACAGGTGGGGTGCTCCTGACATGTTATATAGATTACCTGAGGCTTGTAGCATTTGTAAAATCTTCAACTTATCAAAATATATGGTGGCCATGAGTCAAAACCCCGGTGCCCTACCCTAAAACAGATGGTTTATGGACCTGGGTAAATTATAGTATTTCACTAACCTGAATAGTTTGGCTATTTGGGGATAATTCCCCTTACCAACGATGATTCCAGGCTTCGGGAGAACAGGGTTCGGTCGTGATGAAATTTACCCAGATGGATGTATATTCCCCAAATATGGCACTGGTTGGTGGTTTTGACAATCTTGAAAAATATGAAAGTCAATGGGAAGGATTGTCCCATATATTATGGAAAATAAAAAATCTTTGAAACCACCAACCAGTGGCAATACTGTAATAGGTTTAACCACCCATCCCTAATCGATTCGACGCCTTTTGAGATGATCTCTCGATACAACGGAGAGGTGGGCTGTTGCTTTTGCTACTAAAAATCATCTCAGCATGTTTCCAAACATGACACGACATTGCTGATTCAAAACGCGAATTCATATGGACATATAATGAAATATATTGGAAACATGTGTTTGTCATATTAATGTCTCCAAACTCGCCTTTTTTCATGATATCCCATATGCTCCATGGTGCTGGAATATTTACCAACATTTACCCCATAAATGACCCAGTCATGTAGGTAAATATACCAGCACCATGGAGCATATGGGTATTATTTGAGTCATAGGTGGTTCCACACATTTCCAATTGGAGAATTTGTCACCGACAAACTCGCGATCCGAGTCTGCTGATTTTTGACGTGGTAAACCCCATCATTTTTTAACATTCCCCAACTGCGGGTCGGAAGCATCATCTCCAAATGGTAGGTTTATGACATTTAAATACATTCTATGGTATTTCCATGGTATTTCTATGATATTTCTATGGCATTTCTATGGGATTACTATGGGATGGGATCTTTAATGGCTGGTTGGTGGTTGAACCAACCCCTCTGAAAAATGATGGACTTCGTCAGTTGGGATGATGACATTCCCAATATGATGGGAAAAATAATCCATTCATGTTCCAAACCACTAACCAGCATTGATATAAGGCTATGTTCCACCTATAGATCTCCACATTTTCAACCTTCCAATCTCCATCCTATCATCCTATCCCTGGGTTCTCTGGGATCTCTGACTGCTTCTGCACCTTCATCATGTTGGGCTGCGAACGGTGGCGCAAAAACCAAACACGCAGATCCCAGGCTTGATCAATCGCACGCTTTTTGGCGGAGGCGCGGCGAAGTGGAGGGATCCCAAGCGGCTAAAAAACATACCAGAAGATGCGGAAAACCTGTGGTTTTTGTTCGGAAAATGATCCAGAAATTTTCGTGTTTTTTTTCCAAAAATCTGATTGTCAGTTTATCTTAAGGCAAGGGTATCAACTAGATCTAATACGTACGGACTGAACTTAGAATATCCTTTTGGACATTTGAGGACCTCACGACTATATGTTTTCCAATATTGTCCAACCATTTTTTCGAAAATCATGGAGGCATTCTAAGTTTCAGTCAGTCCATATAATCTACGTTCGTAAAAGTACAAACGTTATTTACGTGTAATATAATACACAAATACACATAAATCATTCTTTTATATATATATTTTATACATTTATTAATGATATGATTGTAACTGCTACATGATAGAGCTCTGATACCCGCTGGTAAACGTTTACAGTTTGCAAACTGGAAAATCACCATCTTTGCTATATCAACATATCAACATATATCAACCATTTCGACTGGGCCATGATCTCCATGAAATCACAACGGTTTGGGGCCTATGCCTTTCCCAGCGGTCTCGGGCCAAATGATCTCAGAGACCACCTGGCGAAGGGAAGAGTAAGCTATGGTTTCTATAAAGATCAATATGACATGTGTGTACTTATATATATATATAATGTATTGTGTATATATATTGTATTGTATGTGTATATATATATATATGTATATTTCATGTAAAAATACATATAAATAAACATATATGTATATATATATTTAAAGTGAAGCAAAACACGACATAGTAAACACATATAAAAACGTCAAGTCCCACCAAAAATATAGTGATTGATTGTGTACGCTTCTATCTTGGCTTTTGCTACTATATACACAATACTAGTAAAACAACACAACATACATACATATAATACGTATATATATATATACACATATATATAATATTATATAATCATATTCTAGTAATGACCACAAACAAAATAACAAATAATAATGTATATCGATATGGTACCACCACCGCTGGGTACTCACCACTGATCATGATATACTAAATTACAGTCGGGTTACAAATGTTTGAGCGGAGTGATAAAAAAAAGTAAGAATCATTGGATTGAGAATCAGGAAGAGTGGGTATGTTGAGGGGGCTAACAGATATAATCTATATGTAAATACCAAGTACATATCATCATATCAGTATCAAAATCACTCAATCAGGAAGCAAAAAACTACATACACTGTGGATAGTTTGCAAAATACTCTGGTTAGTATTCAATCCCCATCTAATGGATATGCCTCAGAATTCAATCTCCATCTGTTGAATTGTTGGGCAAAAATGGTATCCCTGTCTGAGCCAAATACATCCAAATATCCAGATGTGTTGCTTTGATGACGTAGTTTATCCCAATCAAGATTCCATGGAAAATCTTGCAGAAATTATTTTTCTTCAGCTGCTTTCATTGTAAGTGCTGGAGGTTTCCCCAAAAAAATGAGGAAATTGCCCATTTTTCATCATCCAATCATCCTATTACCCAAGTCCTTGGAAAACACCCGAAACTCATTGAGGTCCCATGGCCCCATGGTTGGTCTCCCGGATGGGTCATCCCAGATCTGCACCAGTGTAACCAACAAAGAAATAACCAATCAACAGGGACCAGTGGCATTTTCAATCGTTTTTTCCCCACCTGCCAGGTGAGGGTTGTTAGATTTTATCAGAGCTGTTGTCCTCCTCCTCCTCCTCGTCGACTAGCTGTCCTCCTCCTCCTCCTCGTCCTCCTCCTCCTCCCCCTCTAGTTTCTCCTCGACCATGTCTGCATCAACTTCCACCTCCACTTCCGCCTTGCCAACTCTTTGCCAAGCTCTTTGCCAAGCTCTTTGCCAACTCTCTTCGCCAAGCTCTTTGCCAACTTCCCAGCTCAGTGTGCACTGGGACCTCAACCTGGGACCTGCCCAGCTCAGTGTGTACCGCTGGACCTCAACCAGGGACCGTCTCAGCTCAGTGTGCACCGCTGGACCTCAACCTGGGACCTGCCCAGCCCAGTGTGCACCGCTGGACCTCAACCTGGGATTTGCCCAGCGCAGTGTGCACCGCTGGACCTCAACCGGGGACCTCCCCAGCTCAGTGTGCACTGCTGGACCTCAACGGGCAGATAGAATGCCAGAAGATATGCCAGATAGAATGTCAGATGGAATGCCAGAAGATATGCCAGATAAAAATCCATGAGATATGCCAAACAGAATGCCAGAAGATATACCAGATAGAATGCCAGAAGATATGCCAGATAGAATGCGAGAAGGTATGCCAAATAGAAATGCCAGATAAAATATCAGATAGACTGCCACAAGATATGCCAGATAGAATCCCAAAAGATTTGCCAGATAATATGCCAGAAGATATGCCAGATAGAATGCCAGATAGAATGCCAGATAGAATGCCAGAAGACATGCCAGAAGATATACCAGAATATATGCCAGAAGATATGCCAGGTAGAATGCCGGATCGAATGCCAGAAGATATGTCAGATAGAATGCCAGAAGATTTGCCAGTAACAAATCGATAAATGTCATGGTGGGGATCACTCGAAGTAAAGTAATTTCGATAGATACTGGTTGCTTCATAGGGATTCCAATAATGGATACTACCAATAGTTTTATCCGATAAATACTGGTTCATAGGGATTCCAATATTCTGGAGTGTGATACTACCCAAATCAATTTGGCTTAAGCTCATCAACCAACAGTGGCAGTCTTAAACGAAACGCTCCTGCCTGTCAACTCATCCCAGCATTCCCAGTCACTGTCCGGGAAAAAATCAATGGGCCGCTTTGAGGTAGTACTGGTATGTACTGGTTGGTACGCCTACCCCTCTGAAAAATCATGGACTTCAAGTCAGTTGGGATGATGACATTCCCAATATGATGGGAAAGTCATAAAAAAAATGTTCCAAACCACCAACCAGATCTAGTTTTGATTTTTTCACCATCCATGATGTGAAAAAAAAAACAATAATCATCAATCATCATCAATCATCAATAATGATAATTGCACCATGATTGATGATTATTGTTTTTGATGATTTACTACAATGATTGATAATCATCCCCATTCTACAATAATCATCAATCATTCACCATCAACCAGAGTATTTTGTAGTGACTTGCACTCTTCAATGATTGAATGGGGATGACCTATCGATCAACCAATGGGATGATCAATGGGACAGGGAACCGTGGTTAAAACACGCAGCTCTTGGGAAGCCCATTAATAGATGTATCTACCATAAATATAGCTACTACTTGGAAGGATGCTACCTCTATATATATATATATATATGTGATGGCACATATATATATATGCATAGCTACTATGCATATATTCAAAGTTATATATATATATATATCTACCATGTAGATCCATATATCATATATATATATTTATTTAGACCTTGGTTCATGAAGATTTCCCAGCTCCCACCTCCCGAGTGTTCCAATCGCGTTGGAATTTCTGGTGCTGTTCCTGCCCCCCGGGTGATGTGTTTCTCGGAGATGGAGGTCTAAAACTGGGAGATCTTCTCCAAACATATGGCATTTCCATGGGATTTTACGTCGATTCACAGGGGTTGAAGCAACGCTTGTTGGGGGATGCTTTCATGGGAATAGCCTCTGGTGTCATCAAACGTGGTTTCCTGGAAATTCACCCATCTTATAATCACTGGTTGGTGGTGCAATAACCATCTTGAAAAATATGAAAGTCAATGGGAAGGATGATCCCATCTATGAAATGGAAAATAACAAATGTTTGAAACCACCAATCAGATATGGCATTTCGATGGGAAAACATGGTTAAAATTTATTCCAATGATATTCTTCAATGGGAAACTGGGAGAATATTCCCCATATTCCTGAGAGATCTTCCCCAAAAATCTGGAAAAACTCCCAGGTGTTTCATGGTGGAAATTCTAAACCATTGGAGTTGGAAAATCGCTCCGATTTTCTGAACAGCTTTTGCGTCGGAGATAGCGAGGTACCTGTGTTTAGTCGGCTTCAGAATGTCCCACCAAAATATGGAGTTGGAATGAGTTGAACATACCTGGTTCAAAAGGAACATACTGTAACTATGGTCTGCAGTTATTTAATGTATATTATATAAATAACGTAAACTTATGCAAACTTGATCTTGACTGGGTCACAGCCCAATATCTTCCAAGTTAAATTTGTATATACCAATTTACAAACTATGTTACACCAAAAATCTAGAAACCGTCCCAGTACCCACATCTATCATCACTCTTCAAATATGCTGTATGATTTGCCAACACGATCACCCAGTTTTGTAGGTGCAAAAAAACTACAACATGGTGCCCTCCAAGTTCTAACTTGCTGAAAATCACCTTATCATACCGTGAATCTAACTCAGGTGATTTCATCACCACGATTATCACCACATTTTTTTTTCACATACCATCTGGTTATTTAACATAGCCATGGAAAATCCCTTATAAATCTTATAAATGGAGGTTTAATGGGAAAATCATCTATAAATGGGCAATTTTCCATGGCTATGTTAAATAACCAGAGGGTAATCACCACAAATTTCATTTGTTTTCACATCCGTGAAAAAAAAAGCATTTTTTTAGTCCCCAAAAAATAGCCATAGTGGCCATAGTATGCCATAGTGTTTCACTAACCCTTCCACGCTGAGGCACCAGATCAAGAAGCTGATCAAAGTGGATGCCCCACCTTAGAAACAGAAGATGTGTTCAAAAAAAACGGATGACACCAAGAGAAAACAGAAACAAAACATGAAAAACATGGTTTAAGTCTGAGATGTTTAATGTTTAGCCTCTATTTTCTCGGAAGGAAACCTGTTGGAAGTTCTGATATTATGTCGGATCGAAATTTCAGAGAACCTGGGATGAACTTCAGAGTTTCGTAGCGGATCTCCCGTCATGTCGATATGTCATGATATGTCATATTCCTGTGAACCTCATAGATGTAATATTCTAAATTATAGATGATATAGATGCAGTATAAATCAGTATAAATCAGTATCAGGTTTCAACTGGAACATCCATCCATGACCCATATGCTCCATGTATGGAATATTTACCAACATTTACCCCATAAATGACCCAGTCATGTAGGTAAATATACTATACATGGAGCATATGGGTATATGATTATCTATGGTTTATGGATAGTTTGCAATGGAAAACACTATTAAAATGGATGATTTTGGAGAACCCATATCCAGTTGAAACCTTCCTCTGGTCCCATGATCCCAGCTTTCTGATTGACCGATTTTTTTCGGCTCCCGACTTCTCAGGAGGCACGCCCCACTGGTGCAGCTGCGGCCGCGCGGACCTGACGTGACGTCGCAAGACGACGTCGCCGAAACGGTGGTGCCATAAACACGTCAGGTGCTGCCCTGTTCTGAAATGGAAAAAAATGAAGGTTTATAGCTGCGAAATTCCATGAAAATCCACAAGAAATGGAGGTTTCAATGGGAACATCCCCTATAAATGAAGTTTTCGTGGGAAAATCATGGGAAAATCATGGACAATCCCTAACAAACATGGACAAATCATGGAAAAAGCTAGGAAACATTCTATAAATGGAAGCTTTAATGTGAAAATCTTGGAAAATCCCCAAGAAATGTCAGTTTTCATGGGCTTTCAACCGGGAAATCTACGAAAAATCCATGAAGCTTTACGGCTGGAGAAATCCTGGAAGCTGCCCTTTTCTCCACCATTTTTCATCCGGCCTTGACTGCAGATGTCGTGACTCCATGCCTTGGAGACTGCAGTGGGGGTCAAATCTGACTGGTGATTTATAGTGGATTTAACCATGAAAAATGGTGGATCTTTCCATAGTTCATAGGATGGAAATGGATGGAAATGGATATACCCTCTGGTAAACTCACAGTTTGCTATTGAAAATGGCCCAGTCGAAATAGTGGATTTTCCCAGCTATAAAATGGTGATTTTCAACAGCTAAATGTTAGTTTACCAGAGGGTATCCCATATGCAACCCATGGTGCTGGTATATATTTACCTACATGACTGGGTGATTTTGGACAAGGGTAAATGTTGGGATTCATATTCCAGCACCATGGGTTGCAGATGGGGATGTTCAACAAGAAGTTGTACATAGCTGTACAATATTCCCGTGCCCCAGTGTTAGCACCTGTGTTAGCACCTGCTGACCCTCGCCGTCTTTCTCTCGGTGTTCCATTTTCGCATGTGTGGAACTCCCATTATATACACCTCATCAGTATGGACCTGACTCGCGACTGAGAGCGAGTCACTTTGATGGATCTTCCGAGTATCTCAGATGTCATGGTATATTCATGTATATTCCCCCACGATACAAGTCGAGTAGATTCGAGTAGTGCAGTGCAAAAGCAAAAACATCTTGAATCACACAAATCTATCTTGGCAATATCCTTCTTGGTGGCTCATCCCAGTATATAAGTGGGTTAGTTCACCCCAGTTATAAGTGGATTAACCCTACAAAAATCCCATGTAAATCACTGGGGTTACAACCCACAAAAACGAGCCGTGGGTAGTTCGCCACCAAGTTGGGATGTCAAAAACCTAGCTGGGGGAATGCTGACTTTTTCCATCTGGATCAATCAAAACACCCCCCAATCTGTGGTTAACATCCCCCAAATAAATGGTCCCAAAAAAAAAGGACCAATTTTTTGTGCAAATGACCTACGGTTAAACAGTGAGGTTTCAATTTTGTGTGCAACAAAAAGCCAGGGAAAAGGATGAAAACTCTCAGATTTGTTACTGTATATTGTATATTCAAGCAGGTTTCACTTCGATCCAAAGATTTCAAGAATTTCAACCACTGATTTTCCGACACCCACTGAGTTGCCCAAACCCAAAGGCGACCGCGGTGCGGTCATGGGCGTCACCGCCAGGGCGGGTTGAGTATGGAGCCTAAGATAAGAGGCTTGACGAAAAGAAACAGAGAACTAATCATCCTGGTAAATGAAAATAACAGTTGACTAACCTGAAACTAGGTCACGCACTGGTATTTAGCCTATGATACTTTTATGAAATAAGGCTAGTTTAATCTATTTTATGCTGTTTTAAGGGAGACTTACCCTTACGAACCATCATTCTAGGTCGCAGTGAGGTCGTTATAGGATAACCAACCAATATACCCGGTGATTTTTTTCATGGGAATGAATGGGATTTTATGTCGATTAACAGGGGTTGAAGCAATGCTTGTTGGGGGATGTTTTCATGGGAATAGCCTCTGGTGTCATCAAACGTGGCTTCCTGGAAATTCACCCATCTTATAATCACTGGTTGGTGGTACAATAACCATCTTGAAAAATATGAAAGTCAATGGAAAGGATGATCCCATATATGAAATGGAAAATAAAATTATATAAAATTCATGTTTGAAACCACCAAGCAGATCATTTAGTTCGGTGATTTTCCCAGCTATGAACGTCCATGGCCATTTCATCTTTTTGGAGATGTTTTTTAGTGATGTTCCACCGCCATGTTTGACTACCGGAGGGTAATCCTTTTGGGACAGAAGGATTCTATAGGAGTTATGATCATGTAACTTACTTAGCCTCTGGTAAACAGCCACATAACTATGGACAATTGCCATAGAAATAGTGGATTTACCCAGCTATAAAATGGTGATTTCCCATAATTATGTGGCTGTTTACCAGAGGGTAACATTTACCATCATTTACGATCCTTTGCCTATTTGCTTCATCTCGGAGAGTCCGCAAGGAAAACACTGGCTGTACCGTACGTTCCTTTTAATGAAAAAAAGCTTGTACTTTCTAGTACTGTACCCATCCAATTATATACAGTTTTTTTGTTTTGACCAATGTTTTTCATGTTTTTGTCCATGAAACATGAACCACAACATTAACATCTTACCAATCATAGCCAATGACCCATATGCTCCATGGTGCTGGAATATTTACAAACATTTGCCCTTGTCCAACGTCACCCAGATAGGTTTTTATATACCAGCACCATGGGTTGCATGTGGGATTCATTTGGGGATAGAGATGACTTGGGGATAGCCTCTGGTAATTGTTCACAGTTTTCGATTGAAAATGACCCTAGTGAAATAGTTGAGTTATAGTTGAGTTACATATGGTGATTTTCCGCTTCGCAAACTGTAAATGTTTACCAAGTTTACCAGAGGCAGGCTTTCGCAGCCAGGCCACGTGCGCTGCGACAACGTGGGAACCATCTGTCGCACGGGACTCACATTTCGCCCAGGGGAGGTGCTACGGGTGCTGGGCACCAGCAAGGACTGGGACATCGGAAGATGCCTTGGAAGCGGCGACGTTGGCGGCTGCAGCGTCTCCAGTCGTCACCATCTTGATGGAAACATATTAGGTAACTATCAATGGGAGGTTTATGGCAACATGGTAACTATCATGGTAACTATATGGTAACTATCATATGGTAACTATCAATGGGTGTCCCACTTTAACATGATTATCTAAAGTTCTACATTGTGATTGATAAGTCAACAACTGTAGAGGTGTAAACTCAAGAGTATACTGGGAATACTACCGGGAATATACTGGTTTTGACATGTAATTGAGCGGTCTTCAACATTCGCAACGTCGCCCCTTCAAAACTGGCTGGTTGAGAATGGATTTCCCAGTTCATGGATTGTGATAGTCCCCAATATATTGGATATTATTGGATAGTATACACCCTTGAATAACCAACCGACAGGGTTTTTGAACACTGCTCAACTGAGGGTTTAACATGGTTATAAAATGTTATAACATGTTAGAAGTTATCAATGGTGATAAAACATACTTAACCAACAACGGAGGGGGTATCAACTCAAGATTCATGGGAATATCATGGTTTTGAATGGGATTACCTCCCCCCCAAGTGAGGTTCAACCGCTTAAAGCGACAGAGAAATGCTGAGCAAACTTTGGGTCTTCGACTATGCTGGATAGGTCACTTGGTTTCCAACGCAAGTGGGGAGACAACTCTGAATCTGATGCCCACTCTTTTTCAACATGACTACGTATTCAATATTATTCAATCACCAAAAAACCTCAACAAACATAGATCATAGAATATGTATGAATATGTTGAAAACTGATAAAATAGTGGCACACTTGACAGAAGTGCTTCCTTATTTTGGTTATATTTTATATATGGAACCACACTTAATAGTGCCACACTTTTAACAGAACCATGTGGGAACCACCCACTTAAACAGACCACGAAAAACAGCAGATGCTGGAGCAATAGCTCTGAGCCCCCGAACGGAGTCTGGGGATCTTTGGGGCTCAACATCTGCGACGGCCATCCGTGGGCAGATACCAGTTGTGTATGGGAAATGAACAGATGTACCCTAAAAAAAGAAACAAAAAAATAAGCATAGCAATGGACAATGTTCAGAAACATGTTCTGAATGATTTTTTCGATGATTTTTTCCAGCCAATAGTCTTTGGCTTTCTTCCAGGCAGGTTGAATTACGCGACAGTAGACCCAGTTACCAGGTTAACCCAGGTAATGTGGTAAATCTTAAAACCATAAACCCCATAAACCATCCCAATAGAGGTGAAACTGGGTCTACACAACTATGACTGGGATGATGTGGTTAATGGGATGGCTGGTTTTACATGGTTTTACCATGGCTTTTACCACATGATTGCGATACCAACCAGAGGCTTGGACATGATTCACTATCAGTCACTATCAGATGAATATTACCGTCTCAGCAACTACGGCTCAGCAACTCATCTAGCTATACCGTATATTGGATCCTATATTCTCCTATATTGGTTGTTGAATGTACAAAGTGCGGTAAACCCAGTTTGGTTGTGAAATTTCTAGGGGACTCCATGGGACTCCCATCTTCGAAACTACAAGGGAAGATTACTCCCAAACGGCCATTCTTTTGATATGGACAATGATGATAATAACATATGATAACCCATTATATATATATATATGGGAGTATCAATCATTCAAACATTTGGCTATCAATGATGCAACACTTCCCTGTAATACATACTCATCCATAGATCACTTATCACTAAAAAACATAAAATATTTCATTTATAGATATATAATGATATAGAATGATATAGAGATCAATGATCTATAGATTGTTTGTTGATGTTTGTTGTCTATCCTTATCATATCAAGATGAAACACATCAAACAAATCTTCTCTTAGTGCCTCCACAGACCGCGCACTCGTAGCAGCCCTCAGCAGGCTTTGGGGTCGCGCAGGCTGCGTAGGCGCGGCACCTGTGTGAAAAGGTTGGAAGAGCAACACCACCATGGAAAATTTTGAGGAAATGAAGACCTGGAATTTATAAATTGGAACATATGTTTGTTTTTGTGAAAAAATTGGGAATCTAGATATTGGAAAACATTGGAAAAACATTGGACAATTGACATTGATATGGAAATTCAATGATCTTCATGTTAATCTCTCCACTATAGCAGCCACCGCCTTGCACCTTTCTTCAGAAAACCATGGGTTTTCCATATCTATCTTAATCTATATCATGTGGTTAAAACAATGTCATAAACCACCCATGACTGGGACTGGTAAACATAGCACCTATAAAAATGGTGGTTTTAACCACATTACTACGGGGAAATGGATGAATCCATGCTGGTTACCCTCGCTTTCACGGGCATGTCATAAGTTTCATGTCGGGTTTACCTCATCATGCCCATGTTCACATGTTCAATTGGTGCACACCAGAGAGGGCTCAAATTCGAGCCTCTGTCTGTTCACATACGAGCTGAAATGTGCTAAAAAGTTGCTGGATGCTGCTTGCTTCGCGCATGCTTGAGTGAAACCACTGTGATCCAGCATTTTCTGATTTTTTACCCCATGATCCCCATAGATGATTGCTTAAATCCCCAGAATTTCCCATTCTTGAGGATGTTAAATCATGTTAAATACCCATCAATGAGAACCTATTCTTCATTGTGAAAAAAACAATTCGTTTCGATGGTCGAATCGAGTCAAAACATATCAGTTTTCTACCCAGATTTCACACCCTTATGTAGCCATCTGGAGGGATGGTCAACCCCTCATGTTCATTAGTGGATTTTTTGGGGGACTAAGTAATGATGGGACTCCCCCAATACTAAGCAATACTACTCCCACACTACTCCCAATAGAATGGGGGGTAGTCCTATAAAAGCTGTGAACTTTCTAAACCTGATTGTGTCATTGCCTGTTTCTTTAAAGGGATCTAGCAAATCTTGGGTCCTATCATTTGGGGCTCCCTATAAAATCCTATGGAAGGAGTGACAATGACACCATTGATGGATTTGCAACATCCACCAACTAATTCATACCATATACCCTTTGGTTATGCCTAACATAGTGAACTGGAAAATCATCACTTTTAATAGGTACGTCATCTATAAATGGGTCATTTTCCATAGCCATGTAAGTCATCACCAGAGGGTCAACTATGTTGTCAATTCCCTGGAGTTTCCCCCGGATCGATTCTCATAGTGGGAGGGACAAATTGAAATACCCTCTGGTGAACTAACAGTTTGCTATTGAAAATGGCCCAGTCGAAATAGTGGATTTTCCCAGCTATAAAATGGTGGATCTTAAACCATTGCTATGTTAGTTCACCAGAGGGTAGACCCTGGGAAGAACATGTGTTGAAACCCCCAATAAAAATGGCAGGGTCGTGATGTCAGTGGGACGTCAAGTGTTTTTCGTGGTTCAATTCCAATATGTCGACGATTTTTCAAGGTCAAGTCCAACAAGAATTCCAATCATTGCTGCTATATAAACCCTTGATTTTTTCTTGGGTTTAATGGTTTAACCCTAGAAAAACCATGTTTCACCCCTTATTCCTACAGATCTTCCTACCATCTGGTTATGACTAACATAGCGAACTGGAAAATCACCATTTTTAAGTTCGGTACATCATCTATAAATGGGCCATTTCCCATGGCTATGCTAAATAACCAGATGGTATATTTTCTTGCTTGACATCCCCGTTGCTTCCCCGTTGCTTCCCCCGTTGCGGACGGACGGCCTAGGGGCATCACGGCCCGGTGCTTCTGCCGCGGCGGCGTGGCCGGCGGCATCACTTGGATCCGTGCCTGGACAGACCAAAATCTGAAAAGTGTGTTGATCTAGATTGATTTGGAATAGGATTCACGGATATTCTATTCCATTACAGATAGGATTTATATTCTATATAACTATATAAATGGAATAGACCCATATGCAACCCATGTTGCTGGTGTATAAAAACCTACATGACTGGGTCATGTAGAAGGGGTAGTCATGTTGGTGTGCATATTCCAGCACCATGGTTCGCATATGGGTAAGATTTTCTGGATTTTTGCTTAAGACTCGGATTAATAATTTCCATTCTATGATGGAACAACTCGGTGACTTGTATTACCCTCTGGTAAACTAACATGGCTATGGAAAATCACCATTTTCACTGGGTAAATCCACTATAAATCACCATTTTCAATAGCTATGTTAAATTACCAGAGGGTAGGAGTATTGATGGAACATCTTGGAATTGGAATCCGAAATCCGAAATCGGGGTACCACCAACTCAATGGATCAAGGTGATGACCATGACGACTAGTATTGAAACACATGGTGAGGACTAGGGATCCCACTATGGCTAATCTATATGATCATACTATGGTACATACATTACATTACATTAAAATTAACATTTACATGACATTACATTGCATTACATAGTTACATTACATTGCTTAAATCAAATATATATATATATTTACTGCACATGAAAATTATGTTAATCTACCAACATATCAAGTGGAACTGCAGCCACCAGATTCCCTGGTGGCAATTGATATCAATAGCCATTTCAGGTAGCTAACAGAATTTCAGGGGAGGTGTTCCAATATGTTCCAATAATAATGTGGCGAAAACAATACTAAACCATCTCCCAAATCACCATTTTTATAGGTGCTATGTTTACCATTCCCAGTCATGGCTGGTTTATGACATTGTTTTACCCACATTAATGATCAATAACCCATTCATCAACCAGTCAACATAGCTGTGGAAAAACATCGTTTTTAATAGGTAAAACAACGAACTAAATTCAACGGCCATCCCAGGAACCTAAATTGGAGGTACCTACCACATATAAGGCCTATATAAGGCCTAAATTTCAGGGAATATTTCCCCACAAAATATGGCCAAAAATATGGTACTAACGTACCTCCATTTTAGGATCCTGAAATTCCCATTGATAAACCCTCCATTTTATGCTCATTCGAATGGAAGATACCAACTTCAATGATGGATAGCAACAAAAAAAACAATGGGAGATCTTTGTTTTCCAATTCGTGGTAGATAAATGGTCATTTTTCAGATCTCCCCAAGTACCACCGGTCTGACCACCGGTCTCACCACCGGTCTGACTCTGCCAGGTGGCCCTGGGCTGGCGACTTCGGGGTGGCGACATCGGTTCTTTGGGCCTTAGAGATGGACATGTACAGAATGGCCAAGCGCAACAAGCGCAAAGTACAGCAAACACACAAAAGGTTGATATACATATATATATACATACATACATATATATATAATGTAAAAATAGTATAATAATGATAGAATAGTATATATAGATTGTAATAATATATAACCCCCAGTAATTATATGTAATGACTGTAATAATGATAGTATATAATATAGTATATAGATCATTATAGATCTAATAATAACACATTCGAAAATTTAGAGATGTATAGCCAATACTACATGAGAGATTTCTTGGGAACATACTGGGAATATCATTAATACCCTCTGGTAAACATACAAAAAACTATGGAAAGATCCACCATTTTATAGCTGGGTAAATCCACTATAAATGGTCATTTTTTATAGCAAACTGTGAGTCATAACCAGAGGGTACCAACCATATCATTTGGAAGCCCCGAAAAAGATGAATCGAAACAGTGGTGTTTCCCGGTTGGTGAACATACGTTGTGTTGTTTTCCGGATCTCAATCTACCATTAATGGAAACAACGCGCCTGTCCAACGTGTCGCAATCTTTTTGGGGGCTGCTACTTTTCAAAAACTGAGGGCTGGTTGGATGGCATAGGATGTCCACCTTTGATGCAATTTTTAAACGTGAAACATGGAGGTAGCATCAAGCGTGTTTGGATGTCTTTAAATGATCACTACAAGCTCCGAAAGCCACTTGTAAATGCTGGACATTGCTGGACATTGCTGGACCAAACAAGAGCAAACAACAATTAGTGAAAACGGCGAACTATTCTCCGGTATTCAATCATGGCTAGCTGGGAAATCCCCAAACTTTATGGCTGGTTGGTGGTATACCTACTGAAAAATGATGGAGTTCGTCAGTGGGGATGAAGACATTCCCAACTGAATGGAAAGCCATAAAATTAATGTTCCAAACCACCCCAATCAGATGGGAATACAAAAACGCAGGAAAATTCTATAGACGGTGGATTTTCCAGCACATCATGGTGGATTGCCAAAGGGTATTCTCATCAACATCTCAATTTTTTTCTTGGTGAAACTTTGAAACCCCGATTCTAATCACCAGAAAAATATCATAAACACCAATAAACCCATATTTATCACATTTAATCACCATAAAGAGATCATAAAAAAAAAAAAATCAAGATCCCATTTTCAACAACAAATCGCCATGACCATGGCCCAATTGGCCCAAGGCACGTGCAGTAGCCCGCCATGGGCACAGTCGCGCGGCTGCCCACGGGGCGCAACATCTTGGTGGAGGGCACTGTGATGATGACCTGGTGGCTGGATGTGGCTGGGACCTCCAATGGAGAAATCATATGAAAATCATGGGAAAATATAGGAAATCCCAAACACCCCAAATAAAGTGGTTAATAAGTGGGGAACTATGGCGGACATATGGATAAATATGGCACATCATCAATCATCATATGGAGCTGGGCGGAAATAGTGGCACATAATATAGGAAATCCCCAACGCCCCAAATACAAGGGGGGGAACTTGGTTGATAAAGTGGTTAATTAAATGATGTTAAATGACCAATTTCCCTTGATCTCTTGTGGCTACAATTTACATACAAAGGATTGGAGCAATCATGGTGGAAAATTCATGGGGAAAATCATGGGGCAATCCCCAACAGGTCAACCTAACCGGGGGATCGCCCAGAAAAACACAACTTGGAGGACCTGGGAGGCCTGATATAAAAAGGTTATATTATGTTTGAAGAGTTTGGAGGTTAATCGCCCAATTAGACAAGGACAAGGATAATGATGGTGATGGTGATGATGATGATGACGATGATGATGATGATGATGATGGTGGTACCAATAAATTATGTTTGGAAAATATGATAATGGTAAACATAATATAACATAATGATGTTCGCAATGATAACAATGATACATGTTCTCAGGATGTATTCTGATGATCTGTACTGTCTATTCTGCGAGTGCTATGTATGTGCAGGTTTCTCTATATATATAAGTACTTATATATTACAATGCAAACATTACTTTGCGTTGGGGTTTGGTATTCCGCCCTGGTTGTGAATATTGAATTCAATTACTATTTTGCCACCTCGCATCTGATCATATAATATCATATATTCCAAATGCTCAGAAATAGCTTCCCTTGGGTCAGCTAGGTCCTCCCTCTCCCTAATATCTTCATACCGCTCCTTGGGAAACCTGGTGTCATATTAGAGCTATTCATTTGGGCTCTCGAACGAAGATTTTTCGGGGGATTGGATGATCATTAAGATACCCGGCCTGATAAACATACAAAAAACTATGGAAAATCACCATTTTGTAGCTGGGTAAATCCACTATAAATGGCAATTTTCAATAGCTATGTTAGTTTACCAGAGAATATGCCAAAAATCCAAAAGCTCCATATGATGATTGATTATGTGCCACTATTTCCGCCCACATGAAAGTAAATGCACCATGAAAACGTAGGACAAGGGTAAGCTGTTGGAATAGTATTCCTATCCTGGCGTCAAAAAATCCTGATGTGAAGGTTGATAGAGTTTAGTCATAATCCTTCAATCCTTCAACACAAACCTTAACTAAAACCATGAGTCAATGATCAAACCAATGAGTTTCATACTGGACGTGAGTGGCCAAGCGGCCAAGCAGCCAAGCTGATGGATCAGCTGTCAAAAATTCTGGGGACTACGACCCATCCCAACATCGGCTGTTTCCCTGCTGGTACCGAAAGTAGAACATTATCTTAAAGAATGATCTTACATTTTTCCTGGATTTTACGGGCAAATTCAGCGGACTTGAGGCCGGGGGTGGATGACGAAAGCTAGCGGAGTAGGAGAAAGAAGGAAGGGAAGAGGTGAGTTGCGGAGGGACTGTCATCATCGTGTCGCGGCATTGTTCGTCCCAACGAGGATGCAACAATGATATATGATATATGATATATAACAATGATATATATGGGGGAGGGGGCAGGGGGGGGGCCTTTCGCGTGAAAAATCACGTGATGTCCTTGGGGAGCCCCGGAATACTTGCTAAAGCAAGAAGACTCTAGCGAGCTGACGCTAGCTTTCGTGATAATGCCAATAATTGCCAATAAGGATAAAATGTATTGAGAATAGCGATGATGATGATGATGATGATGATGATGATGAGGACGATGACGATGATGATGACGATGATGATGACGATGATGATGACGATGATGATGACGATGATGATGATGATGATGGTGGTGATGGTGGTGGTGGTGGGGGAGGGGGGGGGCCCCCTTTCACGTGAAAAATCACGTGATGTCCTTGAGCAGCCCCCTGAATACTTGCTAAAGCAAGAAGACTCCAGCTAGCTGACGCTAGCTTTCGTGATTATTCATCATTTTGAAAGACATAAAGGACATGTTGGTCAGTATACCGCAGTTTCAGACACACCCAAAGATTATATGGCGATAGCTATATATTAAATATCCCCATTATATCCCCTCATATCCTCATAATTATCTAAAAGGTGATGGCCCCTACATGCCGCTAGGTTGCCTTTCTTTGTAACACATCACTAGGGTTAATGGTACATATATCCATGGTATTCTATAGTCACTGGGGTCTATAAACCAGTAGTTTTTAACTATAGAATACCAATGAATACCATAGACATATCTACCATTAAAACCACAGTGACCTGTTGCTTACCAATGAGGTTTATAGAATACCATAGAATAACAGTCGACTATAGAATACCATAGAATACCAGACGACTATAAACCAAGCCCTGGTAGCATAAGATTCTATAGATATGAACCTGTAGATACATATGTTACTTACCAATGAAATTTATAGTTCTGTAACTAACAGTATATATTTAACTATAGTTAAGTTATAGTTAATTTAACCAATGATATTTACCATTGCTGGCTTACCTGTCGCTTTTCAAGGCGCCAGGATCACACTTGGCTGCCAGACTGGCCCGCTGCCCTGCGTCTTTTCGGCCTCAAAGAAGGGCAGGACCGTTGGTGTCCCAGCTGGCTGAGTTGGTTGAATTGACTAATTACACTAACCATGATTAACCATGGTTAATCATGGTTAACCGTGATTAACTATGGTTAACCATGATTGACCATGGTTAACTATGGCTTATGGGTATTATAACTACAGTTGTCACAAAGTTTGGAAATGTTTGGAAGTCTCTGAATGCTTAGTGACAAAATGAACATGCCACCATTCTAGGGCTCAACCACCGTTCTATTGGATCAGTTGAGCATTTCTGTAGGATACGTTTCTAAGACATCACAACCTATGATCTGCCGATCGTCGCAAAGAATCCGGCTGAATCATCAAATATCCCAAACCTCTGCCTGCCAGTATTGACATCTACAAAACCGCATACACAACGGTGGTGCCCCATAGTTAGGTAAGGGTTACAGCTGGACCTAGGTTTATGCCGATAACTATCGTTAGATGGGGTTATAAACCACGAATGACGACCTTTGCGGCGCCCCGCCGGCCAAAAAAAATCGGGGGCTCACGTTACGACCGACCGTGGGGTCATGATTCATGCATGGATGGGGGATGGTCCATCCCATAATGCAACGGTTGGGGCGGTTGGGGGTGAATGTCACAAAATAAATCCCCAATGTTGATGATAAATTCACTAATCAACCTGAAAATCCAATTGATGATTCGATTACTGGTTGGTGGTTGAACCTACCCCTCTGAAAAATGATGGAGTTCGTCAGTTGGGAATATGACATTCCCAACTGAATGGACAGTCATAAAATTCATGTTCCAAACCACCAACCAGTTATAATTATATATTAACATACCCATCTGCGAACCATGGTGCTGGAATATTCACCAACATTTGCCTTAAAATTCACCCAGTTTTGTAGGTACATATACCATACATGGAGCATATGCAGCATATGGGGAAAACCAAGCCCTTCTACTAGATCGATGACCTTCCCGTTAACAGGAAAATAAACAATGTTTTCACCCTGGCACAGATAGAAATGCTACGACTCAATTGCAGAAAGACACGAAAACGTAGAAGCAAATGGATGTTTCATAAATACGGGTACCCCCCCAATCATCCAAACTTGGACTGTTTCATTATTGACACCATTTCAAAGCCATGGCTTTTAGTATTGGTTTATGGTGCCCTCCATTTCTGGAGAGTGTCATGGAAGCTAGAGGGTAGGGGCTTTCTTTAATTACTTTACTTCGTGTGATCCCCACCATTACATTTATATCTTCTGGCATTCTATCTGAGATATCTTCTGACATTCTATTTGGCATTCTATCTGGCATATCTTTTGGCATATGATCTGGCATATCTTCTGGCATTCTATCTGGCAAATCTTCTGGCATTCTATCTGGCATATCTTCTGGCATTCTATCTGACATATCTTCTGGCATTCAATCTGGCATATCTTCTGGCATATCTTCTGGCATTCTATCTGACATATCTTCTGGCATATATTCTGACATATCTTCTGGCATATCTCTGGCAATCTTCTGGCATATCTATCTGGCATATCTTCTGGCATATTTTCTGGCATTCTATCTGGCAAATCTTCTGGCATTCTATCTGGCATATCTTCTGGCATATTATCTGGCATTATATCTGGTATATATTATTCTGGCATATTCTATTCTGGCATATCTTCTGGCATATCTTCTGACATTCTTTCTGACATTCTTTCTAACTTTCTTCTGCACATTCTTTGTCCCATATCTTCCTACCTGATCCGGCAGGAACACTTGGCGTGGATACTCGCGGTTTGAGGTCCGGCAGGGAACACTGGCGTGGATGGTCGTGGTTGAGTTCCGGCAGGGAACACTTGGCGTGGATACTCGCGGTTGAGGTCCGGCAGGGAACACTGGGCGTGGCTGGTCGTGGTTGAGGTCCGGCAGGGAACACTGGGCGTGGGTGGTCGTGGTTGAGGTCCGGCAGAGAACACTGTGGATCGCGGGTCGCAGTTGGACGAGGACGACGAGGACGACGAGGACGACGAAGACGACAAGGATGACAAGGAGGACGAGGAGGAGGAGGAGGAGGCAGGAGGAGGCGGAGGCGGAGCAGGAGGAGGAGGAGGCAACTGACATAAAATCTAACAACCCTCACCTGGCAGGTGGGGAAAAATCGCAACAGTTGGGGCGGTTGGGGGTGAAATGTCCCTTAAAATCCCTCAATTTTAAGGGTAAACTCATTAATCATCCTGAAAATCCCATTGATGATTCGATTACTGGTTGGTGGTATACCTACCCCTCTGAAAAATATGGAAAGTCATAAAATTCATGTTCCAAACCACCAAGCATGAGGTTATACCAGTTATATATTATCCAGTTATTACAGTGGTGATAATCAGTTATCATGCAGTTACTTAAATCCCCAATTTTGATGGTAAATCAATACCCAAAGCCATCCTCACCGCCCCACGGTGGTGGCTCCTTAATCGGCTCCGCGGGAGGTGCTACCACAGTGGCAGCACCCGGCACGGGGACTGTTTCAGCTGGAGCCTGGCCCGGCTTGATGGTTCATCGTGTTCCCTACTGTAGAAGGATCTAGAAACCTCCGTTTATAGTGGATTTAGTATAGCTATTGAAAATTGTGATTTATAGTGGATTTCCCTACTAAAAATGGGGATGTTCCATAGTTATGTTAGTTTACCAGAGGGTATCATGGGAAAATGGAGATATCATTGTTGAATTATAATGAATTATAGCCGTTGAATACGGAAAATTATGATCCACAAGCCGAGGCCCCGGTTTACGAAGTAAACCAAAGTTGATGCGCATAACTTGCTTCACGTTTTGGCTTGAGTGGGGGAAAAGTAACGAACTAGTCAATAGAGTTAATGATGTTAATTGGCTTATATTTTACTCGTTGGTGGTTTCAACCCCTCTGACAAATATGAAAGTCAATGGGAAGAATTATCCCATGTACTGTGGAAAAAAACATGTTCCAAACCACCAACCAGTGTTAATCGGCTTATAAATCAAAACGAATTTGAAAGCAACTATCAGCAACTTATATCTCGAGGGCCTCACCTTGTACTGAGAGTTGACATGGCGATGGCAAGAGCGGGAAAGGGATTGGAATTGGAAGAACTTCCCGTTTCAGTTTCCAGGGACAAATCTGCCATTTATAAATGAACCTCCCGGCAATTTATAACTGGTTGGTGGTTTCAACCTACCCCTCTGAAAAATGATGGAGTGAGTAACAGTTGGGATCATGACATTCCCAATATACATGGAAACAATAAAATGCTCCAAACTCCAAACCACCAAGCAGATAAGGATTTTTCAATTGCCATCTTGGAAAAAAGCGGTTTCTCCTTGAAAATTCCTGGGAGGATTTCAATGCCAAAATCGCACCCAACATTTTCAGAGCTCGAAAAAGACTCTACTTCGCTTGCAGGAACCCATGTTTTATGTGGTTAACATGTTTTTTTTTACCATTAAACATGGAAGTTCCCAATAAATCAGCCCTTGAACTAATTTTGAGATTAACCGTGATTAACCTTCTATTCTTAGATTGTCTTAGATGGTCAAGTGGAACTTTGTTGAGTGGTTGAGTGGGTTCGTAACTGAGTTCTAGTCCACTCAGGATCGCCAATCAAAAAAAACATTGCCCATCGAAGTGGATATCCATCTTAGAACCAAACTATAATATATATATATATATATGGAATATGAATATCATCCTATAATCTGATACTGAGAGAGGAAAAAACACTTGAATTAGAGTAATTCACCAACATGAAATCAGGAAGTTTGAGTTCCCTTACTCTCTGGTAAACAAACATGTAGCCATAGAAATAGATCATCGACTTAAATTCTTAAATGGGCCATGGCTTCCATAGCTACGTTAGATTACTATCCCATGACATTTCCAACCTCCAGCACTATCTTTGATGGTGAAAAATCACAATATTTTTCTACCCGTGCATCCCACTGTTTCACGACTGGAGTTGGTGCTGAGACACCCAAGCAACATAGAAATCTTCCAACATAGGTTCCCCAGTTGTAGTGGATTCAATGTTTCCATGAACATGTCCCGAAAAAATCCTTGATTTTGCTGGCTTTTCCAAACTGAAGCGTGAAAAAAAATGACTTTATCCCATCTCATTATACTGGTTGAAACCGGTTTTAATTCCCAATAAACCCAGGTAACATGTATGTATGTAATATATTTGTATAATATATATATATAATATGTAGTCTGATTACAGCATTGCAGCACCATCTTTGACGGTTGATAGCTTGGTTTCCCTAGAATCCAGGTAGTATTATCCAAACAAAATGTATATTTCCCATTATTTCCCTACGATAATCACTACAATCCTTGTGGATCAACAAATGAATCATCCCTATAAGGAGGTTTCCTAAAATGGAGGCACCCCCAAATCATCTAAGTCATTCGACCATTTTAGTATTAAAAAAAAAAACTTTGGTGACGAATGGGGATCCTCCATTTTAGGACACCTTCAAAAAAAACCATAGTAATACCATTACCATGGTACTTTTTCCGTCAAAAATGGTAATTTTCCATACTGGTAAACCAACATAACCATTAATGTCTATTTTTCATGGGTAAATCAACTAGTTCTATGGTCATTTTCAATAGATTTTCCAGTAATGTGATGTGATGAACATCCTGGGTATATCCCATTTTCAGTAGATGAAGAAATCCCATGAAACATCTGAAAATCCCATGGAAACCACATGGGATTACTGAGATCCTCCGCTCGGTCGCCCGCTCGGTCGCCTGCGGCAAGGGCGGCACCGGTGTGGCCGGTAGAACCGCCGCCGAAAACGACGGCGCCATGGCGTGGATGGCGGGAGGTGCCACCACCACGGCGCCAGGGATCAGGACCTGGAGCTGGCGATGGACGACATCGAGTGATGGTTATAGATACCCTCTGGTTATGACTAACATAGCCATGGAAAATTCCATCATTCAACCAAGTATGATGCCCAACCGAGACCATCATATTTGTGAGTGATCTATAATTATTGTGGTGCGGGTACCATAGCATAATCCTGGTAAACCATTAATTATTAATACCATTCTAATCACCAATCAACAATGTGAATAAATCATCATAATTCACTAATCTGAAGTAAGGTTATATTGTGCTATATTGGGAGAGTTCCCCGTACCAACCATCATTCCAGGGCTCGGGAGAACAGTGAGGTCGTTATAATTTACCCAGGGTATATCTATAGATATAAATTAAGTATAAACCATAATAACTTATACGTGTATACATTATTATCTACTATATATATATATATCTACTTACTAACCATCATTCCACGGTTTTTTCATTCACCAACAATGGGGGGATGGGTCAAAAATGGTCAAAACCTATGACATGAGCAGATTAGACTTGGAGAATTACCATCCATATTCATCTAGTAATCATCAGCTATTTGGTTGGGTATCTAGGTACCAGTGGTTTAACATGGTTTAACCAATCAACAAACATATCTATAGATAGTTTATAAACCATAGCAACTGATATAGATATAGTTATCCTATATCAATCCACTCCCTAACCATCATTCCAG